CTGGGGATGCCCGGGGGCACTTGGGGGTGGGGGTACCCCTGGGTCTGTGCTGGGAGCACTCGGGGTTTGGCACTGGTGGGGCTGTGCCGGGATGCTTTTGGGCCGGGAGGGGTTTTCATGGGGGTTTTCCCTGCCCCAAGCAGGTTGGGGTGCTGCTTGGTGTGGGCACGGCGTGGCGGTGGGGCCCCAGATGGCTCTGTGCTGGAGAATCCCTCCTGCGGGGACTGCAGCCCCGTGGGTTTATGATCTGCAGCACAGGTGGAAGGCACCGGGTGGTGTTCCCCACTGACACTGGGCTCCTAAATCATAGTTGGAGGAGGGCATTTCATGCCTTCATTAATTATGTATTGCTTTCAAATCCCCCTCCTTATTTAGCCCATGTCCGTGCTTGGCATCCCAGATGGATGGCAGCTCTTCCTGGATAACTTGGCAAAAGCAAGCACGTCCTAAGCAGCCCAGCATGAAGCTGACAAACATGGGTATCAACGACTGCTTCTATTTCTGGCTGCGTTACTACGCTCTGAGAGCTTTTCCTTGCGTGCTTTCTTGGTCTCCAGCTTGCAAGCGGTGACAGGGTACCAGTCCCTGAGGGCTGTTAAAGTGCCCATGAAGCCAGAAGTCACTGACATTTCTTCCCCCTCCCTGGTGACTTCCCCAGCCTGTAGGAAAGGGTCTGGGGGGAGCAGTTTCTCAAGCCAGTTTTAATGAAAGCCCATCTTTGCTCTTCACCAGCGCCATGGGGCAGAGTAAGCCTCTGAGATAAACTCAGGGTGGATGTTATAGCTGCTTCTCTGGACTCCTCCTATCTTCTTGAAGTGGCTTGTGTCCCACCTAGGAAAGCAGATAAAGTTATCGGCCATGGGAGTACGAAACTCCCGTGAGGAAGAAGAGCAGAAAACATGCTTCTGGCTGCCAGCATTGCTTAGGGGTGAGCAGTGGACACGCAGCTGCTCCCATCCACTTCGGGCCAAGGCTCGGGCATAGGAACATCTATGGGGAACCCAGCACTCCCTGTTTGTTCTCGTTGTTGTTTGGTTTTAGTTTCCGGTCTCAGGAATTTAAAGCCAATCACACATTTTCGGCAAAGCCCGACGCCTAATTTTGGCCTGCAGGGGGTTGATGCAGTAGCAGAGTGATGACTAAGCTGGTTGAACAGCCTCCCCTCCCCTCTCCCCTGCCTCCCCAGGGCTGAAAAAATCTGCCTCAGCAATGGAGACATCCTAAAGGTAAACATGTGGGGATTAAAAGGTGCTGCTGGACCTGCAGCGGGTGAAGGACAGGGCTGATTACTGCATAACAAACAGCGTGACCAGGGAACAGGTTCTTGGATAAGAGCAAACAATGACAACGGAAAATACAAGAGCAGCACAAGAAACACTGATGTGGGCCCAAAATCTGGGAGATGCTAAGCTACATGCAGACGGGCTCAGGGGTGCCAGCAAGATTTCAGGTGCCGTACAGTCCCAAGGACCGCTGGATGAGACCAAGCATAGAAACACTTGTCCCTGGAGTAAATTTGGCAACTGCTTCTCCATGGGTAGCAACAACATGCTCCGCAGCCCAGCACCGCAATGGTGTCCTGCCCTCCCTGGTCATGTCCACTTAGCCTGAGAGATGGAAGTGCAGCAGCTGGATGGCTGCCTGCATGGGCACCGTGATGGAACCCACTACGCCTCGGGGTCTGCAGTCTGCACCATCATCCCCAGAATAACCCTCTGAGCAATTCTGTGTAAAACCCTAATTAAAAGGGAGCTAGTGGCTGGCTGGCAGGCATTAGGAAAAAATATTAGGCTTTTCCCCCAGGGCAACCAGCTTGGAGTCCTCCCCCCGCTGAACCTGCCTGCACCTAGGGCTCCTGTACGGGGAGGATGGCTGGGGGTGATGTGTAGATGTACAGGACATTGCTCTGAGGCTGTAACTGCAGCATGGGATACTCCTGCAAGAGTCAGAGGAGGTAGGGTGAGCAGTGGCCCTGAGGACAAGGGGAGTCATGTCCATCCCAACCCATCCCAACCCATGGCAATCCATCCCCACCAAACACAAGGCAACCCATCCCATCCCAACCAAAGCCATCCCAACCTTACAGCCCTCTCTCCTAGTGCATGGAGATGCCTTCTGATGGCAGAGGCCCCATCAACATAGTGGTCCATCCCTCGCAGGCAGTAATGGCACTCAGAGCAGGGGCTGTAGTAGCCCTGGAAGGGTCCCCTCCCTGTCATGGTGTACATGGGTTGCAGGGACAGTGGCGAGTGCTGTGACAGCCTGCATGGCATGTTAGCGACCAGGTCCCTCTCTGCAAGCAGAAGGATGGCAAGGGTAAGGGCGAGGAGGAGCAGCCAGCCTGTCACCGGGATGGCTACTGGCACAGCACAGGCACAGGCACAGCTACAGCTGGAGCACAGGGGCAGGGCGAGGGCAGTTACCAGATTGATTGAGGCAGGTGGGTTTCGGTGTGTACAGCATAGGCATGCTGTGCAGGAAGGTCTCCATCCTCATCTCCTGCAAGGAGCAATGGCAGCCGTAAGATTGCCACCCTTTCTCTGCAGAGCCCAAGGCGCTGGTGGCACCGGGGGTGGCTCTGATTTGGGGTGTCAGGGGGGGCCAGACCTTACCTTGGACAGGAGGGGGAGGTAAGAGGAGTGCTTATTCCAGGCTGCGCTGTTGTAGGGACCCATTCTCCAGGTGAGGTATTTGTCCTCATTGACAAAAACTGGGTTGTACTTCTCTGCAACGCAAAAGCGACAGGCCGGGGTGTCCTGTGGTGCCAGGGACATGGGGGGACAGCCAGAACATCCCGACTGTTCCCCCTCTCCCCGAAACGCAATGCCATGGGGCCAGAGGGCATGTCAGAGGTGCTGCTCCCAGGGTCCTTGTTAAGGATCTATGATGGAGGTGACACCCACCACTTCCAGCTCATTGGTCTCTTGTCCCTGCCCACGCAGCCTTGGTCCCTGGGGGCTATTGGGTGCCAGGAGGGTGTCCCCCAGGCAGCACCTACCACCAGGAGTATTTAGAGGCCACCAGGGGACCAAGCCCTGGGGACATGCAGACATCCCTGGGACAGGGACAGCCTCAATGCAGGGATGGGGACAGGCAGCTGTGGCAAAGCCACAAGCACAAATGCTGAGGGAGGGTCGGGGGGGGGGGGGTGCACAGGAAAAAAAAGGGGGAATGAACAGAGCCGCTGCCAGCACCCTCAGCCCCCCAACTCCGTGGGGATGTGGCCCATGTGACACAGAGGAACAGCTGGGACCTCAGCAATACCTTCGGACCTGGCCAGCCAGTACTTCTCAGGCCAGTAGGCAGTGGGATCAATGGTGCTCCTGTAGTACTCCTGCACTGCTGCCTTAATCAGCTGCTCGGGCTGACCTTGGCTCACCGGATTTTGCACTGGAGGCATCGTTAATCCCTACAGACAGCAGGGAGCAGGGAGAGACACCTGGGCCATGCGGCAGCGCCTGCCTTCGCAGCCGTCAGGGCACACGGTGAAGCTGATTACCAGGCAGGATCTAACACTGGAGACGCAGCTCCAAGCACCAAGCCCCCCTTTGCAGTGGGTGGGCATGGGGATCATAGCAGCACTGTGATGCCCCCCCAGAGCTTCCCACTAGCCTGAAACTGTGGGACAGAGGGTGGCTGGGCATCACTGGCTCCTCTCCCCCCGCACCCAGGGGGTCCATAGGCATCTGGGTGCCTTGCAGAGTGGGAGATGGGGTGGGTGCACCGGGGCTGCCAGCTGTGGGTGCAGCAGAGGTTGGAAAAGGAGTTATGGGACAAAGCCAATCTCCTACAGCTGGCAAAGTCCAAGAGGGCTGGGGTCTTGCGGGGCAGACGGGTGCCCTGGTTGCATAAGCCATTTCTGTCCCTGCACAGTGGTGACATCCCTCTCCATGCCCTCTGCTGGCTCCCTCGTTATAATGCACACACTAACGAGGCTGCAAGAGATGAGCTAGTTTGCGGTGTGCTTCGCATCAGAGCCTGCACGCTTGTTGGCCTGTGTGGAAAGCTGCATGTCCACGGTACACACGCAATGTCTCACAGACACCCCCTGCAGCGAGGCCACAGCTCAGGGATCCCCTCCTCCTCCAGGACCAGGGCTGGTGGTGCTCAGATCTCCCCCTAGCCCTCTGCAGGGTCCTGCTAGTAGGGAGGCCCCCCCAACTTGGAGCTGAATCGAGCCTGGGGGCTGTGTGTTGGAGCAGCTCTTAGAATAATAGAATCATAGCATCATTAAGGTTGGAAAAGACCTCTAAGATCATTGAGTCCAACCATCGACCCAACACCACCATGCCCACTAAACCATGTCCCTAAGCGCCTCATCTACCCATCTTTTAAATACTTCCAGGGATGGTGACTCACCCCCTTCCCTGGGCAGCCTGTTCCAATGTTTAACTACTCTTTCAGTAAAGAAATTTTTCCTTACATCCAATCTAAACCTCCCCTGGCGCAACTTGAGGCCATTTCCTCTCGTCCTTTCGCCAGTTACTTGGGAGAAGAGACCGACACCCACCTCGCTACAACCTCCTTTCAGGTAGTTGTAGAGAGCAATGAGGTCTCCCCTCAGCCTCCTTTTCTCCAGGCTAAACAACCCCAGCTCCCTCAGCCGCTCCTCATAAGGCTTGTTCTCCAGACCCCTCACCAGCCTCGTTGCCCTTCTCTGGACACGTTCCAACATCTCAACATCCTTCTTGTAGTGAGGGGCCCAAAACTGAACACAGTATTCGAGGTGCGGCCGCACCAGTGCTGAGTACAGGGGCACTATCACTTCCCTGCTCCTGCTGGCCACACTATTTCTGATACAGGCCAGGATGCCGTTGGCCTTCTTGGCCGCCTGGGCACACTGTCGGCTCATGTTCAGCCGGCTGTCGACCAACACCCCCAGGTCCTTTTCCGCCAGGCAGCTTTCCAGCCACTCTTCCCCAAGCCTGTAGCGCTGCATGGGGTTGTTGTGGCCGAAGTGCAGGACCCGGCACTTGGCCTTGTTGAAGCTCATACAGTTGGCCTGGGCCCATCGATCCAGCCTGTCCAGGTCCCTCTGCAGAGCCTTCCTACCCTCGAGCAGATCAACACTGCCGCCCAACTTGGTGTCGTCTGCAAACTTACTGAGGGTGCACTCGATCCCCTCATCCAGATCATTGATAAAGATATTAAACAGAACTGGCCCCAATACTGAGCCCTGGGGAACACCGCTCGTGACCGGCCGCCAACTGGATTGAACTCCATTTACCACAACTCTCTGGGCCCGGCCGTCCAGCCAGTTTTTGACCCAGCGCAGAGTACACCTGTCTAAGCCGTGAGCCGCCAGCTTCTCTAGGAGAATGCTGTGGGAGACGGTGTCAAAGGCCTTACTGAAGTCCAGGTAGACCACATCCACAGCCTTTCCCTTGTCCACTAGGCGGGTCACCTGGTCATAGAAGGAGATCAGGTTGGTCAAGCAGGAACTGCCTTCCATAAACCCGTGCTGGCTGGGCCTGATGCCCTGGTTGTCCCGCACCTGCCTTGTGAGCGCCCTCAAGATGAACTGCTACATAATCTTCCCCGGCACCGAGGTCAGACTGACAGGCCTGTAGTTCCCCGGATCCTCCTTCCGGCCCTTCTTGTAGATGGGCGTCACATTGGCCAGCCTCCAGTCGTCCGGGACCTCCCCCGTTAACCAGGACTGCTGATAGATGATGGAGAGCGGCTTGGCTAGCTCCTCCGCCAGCTCTCTCAGCAC